TTTTTACCCCTCCAGACTCGATCAGTATAGAAATAAAAAAAATTTTGAAAATGGAATATCCCCCTTCCTTTCAGAAAAAAAAAGCAAAAAAAGTAAAAACAAAAATTGAAAAATCTCCCTTACCAGTAGAAGGTCGACTCAACAGCCTAGCCAAGGCACGATGATGACCGGTCTTATCACTTTTACATTTAAAACTCATCTTTGAGAGTTAGATGTTTTATAAAGATGGTATATCAGGTGTTTCTTGGCTTAGTGTAGATTTGAAAAATAGGGTATATCCACAAGCCTCCAGAAAACTGTTAGCAAATTACTTGTCCATTGTATGTATGGGTTTTCAAATGTTTTTGAGGCAGTTACTTCTGAAAAAATACTATTAATGTCGAGATCTCGTACTCGCAACAAAAACGACAAGAAGTAGAATGATTTATTTTTCGGAATCCCCGGCTTTTATACCGTCAGCAAAGTACAATCACAAGACAATAGAGATTTGCATATTGCTGAGAATTCTTCTCATTTATACATGACTTCTTTATACAGAAAGGTTCCACTGTAGTAAATTAGACAAAACTAGACATGAGGAAAAGGGCCTTGATCAAAATTTAAATCGGTCCGGGCTTAAAAATTGTGACCGGCCCGTTCCTCAGGTCTAGACAAAACTCATTGCAAAGCCAAGTTAAAGATAAGTTACTCAAAGTTTGCAAAATATACAGTCAATTTGTAAATGAAACTAGCCTAACAATTGTAAGAAAATTTTAACTAATTAGCTAACTCTAGTCTAGCCGACCTACAATAAACAAACCCAAAGCAACTCCTACCCAAAAAAACAAGTTTTTTTTGCACTAAAACAACTTCAACCTCTTATCCTCTTAAACGTCCATCTTAACTTGGACCCAAAATTTGTAAATTGACAAGAAAAAGCCGAAAGGAACTGGATACGATGAAGATACGTTAAGGTTGTTTATAGTAAAAACTTGGACGGAAGAGCGCGGCTTAATTGAGTAAAATACACTTACAAGTACAATTAAATAAAAATGTAGGGAAAAGGGAACCGAGCATGGGAATTAACATCATATAGCAACAATAAGGTTGAGGGTTGTGTCCATATGAGGTTGTGTTCCGGGTTTTGTTGGTAACGTAATGACTAATTATGAATAACGAATATTGTTTTAGGTAACATGTCGAGGTTTTTTTCGTCATTTTTTGTTTTGTAAAAAAAGTTCTTGCCCTTTTTTGAGTTGTAAAGAAAGTTCTTGCCATTTTGTGTTTTGTAAAGAAAGTTCTTACGTACAGTGCAATATCAAAAATGTTTTGCACTGTGCAATTTAAAAAATGCTTTGCACCGTGCAAAAAAAAATTTTTTTTGAAATTTATTAAAAACTTATTGACCTTTAAAAAAAACCACCTATAACATACGTTAGTTTAAAAAAAATCCTCAGGCAAATGAAACTTGATTTCTTTTTTAAAATTTGAAATAAAATTGAAAAGCGCGGAATTCCCTGTTATCAAATTATCCGCCGCGTTTTAACCCCCGCCTGTCATAAACAGGCCGCAGAAAAACGCAAAATTGTCATACTATGTTGTACTTTGGGTGGAGAGTAAATCCGTGTTACAATTTATTTAGGAGAGAGAAGCCAATGGATTAACTAAAATTACATTTAAAAATTGAGTTTTATTCATAATTAAGCGACCTTATTAACTTTTAATTGCAAATGCAAAAGAGGGGGGGGACTAATTTTAGTTATTTATGGAGTTTGCCACGCTTTAACGGAGGTCTAATTTTGGTGACAATGGGAAGACAATTAGAAAGTTAAATTTTTAAAAAACGTGGGTTTTAAAGCAAAAAATAGGGCTTATGATATAAAAATGGCAAGAACTTTCTTTACAAAACAAAACATGACAAGAAATGTCTTTACAAAACACTCAATGACAAGAACTTCTCTTACAAAACAAAAAATGGCAAGAACTTTCTTTACAAAACACTAAATGACAAGAACTTTCTTTATAACGCATAAATTTTCAAAAAAATTCACTGCACCGTGCAAAGTCTTTTTTGGATTGCACAATGCAGTCAATTTTTAAAAATTCACCGTGCCATTCTTTTTAATGCTATCAAAGTAAAAATTGTTTTAATGCCTTTTTATAGGTACAGATTAAAAGTTAGGCCATATTTGTTATTTTAAAAAAAAACAACAAAAGTTGCACAGTGCAAAAGACTCATTATGTTGCACGGTGCAGTCGTTTTTTAAAAATTTACTGTGCCATTCTTTTTAATGCTATCAAAATGAAAATTGTTTTAATTGCTTTCTATTAGCCTGGACTAAATGTTGTGACAATATTTGTTACTTAAAATAAAGATTGCACTGAAAAAAAAAGAAAATATGTTGCACTGTGCAAGGAAATTACAATATTGCACAGTGCAGTAAAAATAAGCTTTATGTCATCATAAACTTAAAAAAATGATAATATTTTAAAATTTTTATAATAAATAAAGATCAAACTTGTTATCAATACCAGCCTTAACAACCATAACATTTGCCGTTAAGGTCAAAATTCAATAAATCAAAAACTTTTCCCCAATAATAAGCCCACAGAGAATAAATAAAGGTGCGGCTAGCCATTGTCAAAACAGTTTTTTTTTCACCATAAAAAGTCTTTTTTTAAATTTTAATAGAATAATCTCACGCCGCCTTTCTTTTGTTACTTTTAATCATTTTTTCATGAACATAGCCACCTTTCAAAGGCCGTTCGCATGCTATAGTAGGTTGAATGGAGGCGAAAAGTGACATAAAATTTTCAAATTATGATAAAAATAACAAAAACTTTCTTTACAAACAGAAAATAGCAAGAACTTTTTTTACAAGGCCTAAAGTGGCAAGAACTTTCATTACAAAAAATAAAATTTCAAAAACTTTCTTTACACAACATAAATTGTCGAGAACTTCCTTTACAGAGCCTATAATGGCGGACATATTCACTTTATCTGCACGGCGCAGTTATTTTTTTTAAATTCGCTATGTCATTTTAAAAAATTCGCTATGTCATCTTTTTAAAGTAACCAATATAAAAATTGGTTTAGCAGGTTTTTATGAGGGCAGAAAAACTTTTAAAACAATATTTGCTACCTAAAATACGACAAAAATTGCAGTGTGCAATAAATTAAATGATTCCACGGTGCATTAGAAATTGAGGGTTTTTGTTTAAAAATAATTTAAAAATGCATTTATTGGTCCGCAAATGGCAAGAATTTTCTTTACAAAACTTAAAATTGCAAGAACTTTCTTTACAAAACAAAAAATGACAACAACTTTTTTTACAAAACAAAAAATATCAAGAACTTTCTTTACAAACAACTAAACCCCTAAAATGCCTATACAACATCATAAAAAAGACAAAACCTTTTAAAATTGTAAATGAACATTAAAATGAACATTGACAACGCCATTAGAAAGTTTTTTTTGTTTCCTAGCCAAACCCGCGAAATGAATCCTAATGAGGCCAATAGGGCATTCGAGTTGTTAAGCCTATGTAACTGAGTACGTGAAGGGGGATGTTCACACGGTAACAAACATTCGTAATGTTACTATAAGTGTCAAAAAAGTGCATTTTTAAAAATTTTTTAGTGTTGTAAAGAAAGTTTTTGCTATTTTTTGTTTTGTAAAGAAGTTTTTGTTATTTTTGACTTTGTAAAGAAAGTCTTTGCTATCATTTGCTTCAAAAAAAAAATTTTATTATTTTTGATGTTTTTTTTCAAGTATTTGTGCTGTTTATTCTTATTTTGTCAAATATGTTTGAGCAAAAATAAGTTTGTAACGAAATGTCACAAACATTATTGGATTTTTAAAATGTTTTAAAATTACTTTAAAAGTCATAAAATAACTTTATTTTAGTAAAAAAATACTTTTATGTCATTTTGAAGCTTATGACGAAGTGTCACAAAAATTATCGATTTTTTTAAATGGTTCAATTTGATCAAAAACGGTTTGACGAAGCTAAAAAATACTTTTTTGAACAAAAAATACCCCTACCATTTCCTCTGCTTTAACCCCTATTCCTACCCCTACCCACCTCCCTCCTCTTCTTCTTTATCTCCCCCCTCCCCCCCCGCCCCCTCCCCTTCTTAAAGTTCAAAAAACGCTTCCAATCAGGCCATTGTCAAGTCCAAAACAATTTGATATTATCATAAGTTTGTGGAAGATCAGCTGAAAGCCGTTGTAAGGAACGGAACAGCAGATCGTTCCTGGTGCTTTTCAGTGTGTGTCAGCGGTTTCGACATTACCAAACACAATATTCGGGGGGGGCTATAAAACGAGCTGATTCAAAACAAAAGTTGGAACGGAAATGCCACCGGCTAGCCAACTCATTGTTCTTAATTATTTAAGGGGGGGGAGGGAGTAATGGTAAAGGGATAGGAAGTCAGGGGGGGGGGGGGATGGATGGCGGAAAGGAGTACGGGGGAAGGGAGGGCAAGGGTGGAATAGTAAAAGTATTTTTTGTGCTTTCTAACGTAGCCTAGTCAATTTTTAAAAATTTTTAGTATGGTCCGCTACTTTATTGCACTGTGCAAATTTTTAATTTCTTTGCACCGTGCAACAAAATTTTTTTTGTACCGTGCAATTTTTGGCGTATTTTAAGTAACAAATATTGTCTATACATTTAGACTAGACTAATAGAGAGCTACTAAAACTATTTTCATTTTGATTGTTTTAAAAAGAATGGCACAATGAATTTTTAAAGAATTGTTGCACCGTGCAGACTTTTAAGTTCTTTGCACCGTGCAATTTGTGGTGTATTTTCGGTAACAAATATAGTTCTAGCATTTAATCTCGACTAACAAAAAGCTACTAAAACAATTTTTACGTTGATTGCTTCAAAAAGAACGGCACAATAAATTTTTATCAGATGACAGCACCGTGCAGAATAATTGCGTGTTTTGTAAAATACGTTGCTTCAATATGGTTTTATTTATAATTATAACTTTTAGAATATATTGATTATTAAAAATGGAAGCGATTAACATACTTGTGCTTGGCGATCCACTATTTGGAAAATCATTACTAGCTGAGCGATTTGCTATGGCGACTGGAAACTACTGTGTGATAGAGTAAGTAAATCACATTTTAAATAATCTTTAAATTTTGACTTAGCTTTAGTCCTTATCCCTAGCCCAGAAGCCCGAGAGCCCATGCCCATGCCCATGCCCATGCCCATGCCTTAACCCTAGAAAACTTAAGTTAAAACGTAGGCTTATATTATATTTTTTAGGCCATACATTTACAAAGTAATGCAACAAATCGATGGAAGTACTATTCAGTTTTCACTTATGAACATACCAAATGAAGATATTCGTCAAGAAGACTTTGTTAAAGCCAACGCTGTCTTGATGGTGTTTGATGAAGATGACGTTGAATCCTTGGAGAGGCTACAGAGGTTGTGGACGGAGCATTTTGAAGCTATGTGTGAATCTTCTTTGGTCATCCTTTGTGGTACGTTAGAAAATGGCAAGAACTTTATTTACAAAATAAAAAACGGCAAAAACTTTCTTTACGAAAATTAAAACGGCAAGAACTTTCTTTACAAGACCTAAAATGGCAAGAACTTCTTTACGAAACAAAAAATGGCAAGAACTTTCTTTACAAAACCTAAAATGGTACGGACTTTCTTTACAAGACCTAAAATGGCAAGAAATTTTTTTAAATGAGTCTAAATGGCAAATACTTTCTTTACAAACAATTTTGTAGGTATCACCAGCTATGTGCATCGAGACCGCCTCTTTTACCACAATAATGCCACAAGACAGGAAATTGAAGATTTTAAGGACAAAACAGAAGCGACCGCCTACTTCAGTGTTGACCTGGGAAGCCAAGAGCAAATCTTTCAAGTGTTTGACAGGTTCTACAACGAAACCTTTGTACCTAAACCAAGGAAGCGAGAGAGAAGTTTGTCGTTGAAGTCTTTGAAAAGCTTGAAGTTTTGGTGAACTGACTGAGTTTGTGTCCTAGTAGGCATAAGTTTAAACTATGGCTTAGTCCGAGCACGTGATTTTAACACGTGGTTAACCTTGGGCACAGGCTTATTTTTAGGCTTATTTTTAGGGCTAAAACCTGGGCTTGGGCTTAGTCTTAGGACTAAGCTTAGAATTGGGCTTATGCTTAGGATCAAGCTTAAGCTTAGGATTGGACTCATGCTTAGGATTAGGCTAAAGTTTACACAGGACTTGAGCTTTGGCTAGCGCTTAACTTATTCTTAAAATTGTTAGGTTTAGCCTGAGGCTTTGTAATTAACTGAAGCTCATTGTTAGGCTTAGCTTTCAGTCTTTTGACTTACAGTTTGGTTTACGCTTAAGTTGAGATTTAGGCTTGGCTTTATGCTCACACTTAGACGGTGAGCAAACTTTAGGCTTATAGTTAGGCGTTTAGGCTTATGCCTATTCGTTAGCATAACCTATGCGTTAGCATAAGCCAAGGCTTAGATTTGTTAAGCTTAGTCTTAAACGTGAACTTATTTTTGAACTCTAACTGCATTTTAAAATTCTTGGCGTTTTTTTCCATTGAACTTTATATAAATTGACGACAAAACTTTTCGGCGCTTTAATTTTTTTACATTTTTGTTATTTTTCGTTTTGGTTTGGTAATTTTCTTGTCATATAACCTGTGTTTTATAATATTTTGTCCCAACATGTAAATAAACTTGTCATTTTTAATTGATTTTGTCTGTTTTTATACCGAGCTTTCATTATTTTCTCAATTTTATTGTACAAATTCATGTTTTGAAGATTTGTTTTGTCTTTTTTATGTTATACTTGATGTCTTTTACTAATAAACGTTGTAAAATTGTGTAAAATACCATTACTGATCTAATAAAAGCATAGGTTTTGGCATAAATTAGATTTTCTTTGGTTTCAAGGTAGGCCTTTTGATCACCTAAAACAATATCGGAAGGCTCATAGCCGTATCTCAGTGAATGTTCGTTCAATTTTGTTAATTTTGGTATCAAAATAATCCTTGTCTTAGGTTTAATTTAGCTGAGAAGGGAGCAAGATGGTTAACTATTTTTTTAGAACGTTACATCTTGTTTTAGGTTTCTAATCCGCTTTGATCACCTAAAACAATATCGGGCTACTCAAAGCTATATCTCAATGAGTTTTCGTTCAATTTTAGTGATCTTGGTATTAAAATGATCCTTGTTTCAAGCTTAGTTTAGCTAAAAAGGAAGCGGGAAGTCTAACGTTTTTTAAGAATGTCATACCTTATTTTACGTAATAGACCGTTTGATTCCCTAAGACAATATCGGGATACGCGAAGCTATATCTCAATGTGTTTTTGTTCAATTTTAGTGACCTTGGTATCAAAATGCTCCTTGTTACAGGCTTAGTTTAATAAAAAAAGTTTAGAAAGCCTAAACATAGTTTTAGAATGTTATGTTAGGCTCCGGCTTAAGTTTAGGCATAGGCTCATGCTTAAGCTTAAAATTAGGCTTTTAGGTATGGGCTTAATTTAAATAGCTATAAAACTGAAAAGCAACAACACAACGTGACGAAACAGAAAGTGATTACTCGAGTTTTCGCTTAATGTTTTATCACTATTCACACGTGGTTCGAACGTCATCTGATTCAAAGTAATTTGTGGTTTATAAACAAGTGTCTGAGGGTTTCGGAATGAACTTTATTCGATTAAACTTGAATTGTTTTAGCTTTTTTACGATTTTTACAGGGGGTTTTAGATACAATTGTACCTTTTTATGGATTTTTGACATTTTTCTTTTAACTTTTATAGTTTGTAAAGAAAGTTCTTGCCATTTTTTACTTTGTGAAGTAAGTTCTTGCCGGTTCTATTTTTAAAAATGCAACTTTATTGGCGCACTAAAATCAATTATTTTCATTGCACCGTGCAAGCTTTTAATTTCTTTGCACCGTGCAACAAATTTTGTTTTCAGTACTGTGCAATCTTGGGCGTATTTTAGTTACCCAAATATTGGCATAAAATTTAGTCTGGACTAACTTAAAGCTATTATAACCACTTTCACCATGATAGTCTTAAAAAGAATGGCACAGAAAAATGACTGCACAGTGTAGTCCAACATATTTTTGCACTGTGCAAGGAATTTGAAATTTTAGGCTTTTTTGGAGTTGTAAAGAAAGTTCTTGCCTTTTTTTGTTTTGTAAAGAAATTTCTTGTCTTGTAAAGAAAGTTCTTGCTATTTAATGTTTTGTAAAGAAAGTTCTTGCTATTTGAAGACTCTGTAAAGAAAGTTTTTGTTATTTTTTATTGTTTTATGTCATTTTATATTTAATTTTTTTTTTATTTTGTGGTTAAAGTGCTCGTCAGTTAAATTTAGTCCCGAGATTCTAAAATAACATTGCATTGACGAGCCTCGAGGGATTTGCATAACATTGGGCTGAAAGTACAGACGTGAAGCGAAAAAAAAACGTTGAAAGTATGTCAAAATGGTGTCATATATAGATGTATGCAAAGTTTTTTTTGCGATATGTAAATTGCCTTATGATTGTAAGCTTACTTTTAGGTGATTAATGCACTTGGTCTAAATAAGCCTTTTTTTTGGCTTAGTCTTAGTAGGCTTATGCTTAGTAGGCTTAGGCTTAGTAGGCTTAGTAAGCTTAGGTTTAGTAGGCTTAGGCTTAGACATAGTATGCTTACGTTTAGTAGGTTTGGCTGAGTAGTCTTACGCTTGATTGGCTTAGGGTTTAGAAGGCCTAGCTTTAGGTTTATTATTATTAGGCTTGGCTTGGCTTCTTAACCTAGGCTTATTTAAGGTGTATTTCAAACTTGGCCTAGATTTATTTTGCTTTTGGTTTAACTAAACCTAGTAAGCCATCTTTATTACGTTTAAGGGTAATAAACTTGGCAGGTAATGCCCCGCTGAAATTCGGAGCAAGATCCCAGCACTGGCAGTCATTTGTTGGGTCGTTTTACATCGAGGCAAATATTATAAAATTTAAAATATTACGTAAGAAAACGTTGCGTAATGCCATTTCTTGCATTTTCTCTCAGGCTATCTATTATATTATAGTTGTATCATTCGTATTAGGTAACACCCTAAAAAATGTCATCTTAATTATGTTGGTAAGACTTCGGCGTAAATGAAAGTTAAACTCAATAGGCTAAGATTATAGGCTGATGCTAAGGCTAGGTTTAGGATTATTCTGAGACTTTGCCTCTGGACAAGATATTTTGGGTTGAGCGTCGGTTTATGCTTTTGTCGTTCAAATATATGATCTGAAAAACGTATCTTTTGTTCTTTTAAAATTGCAAAAGCTAGCAAAAAGCCTTGTTTTTTGTAAACGTCAGTTTAAAAAACGTTCGCAGACAGATTCAAACAGTGATATGTCAAAGAAACATCACTGGAAATGATAAAAGTTTAGACAAATCGTTTATTTTTGGAAGCTTGGTTTGACTGTACTTTTAGGCTTGATAATTTTGATCTACCTTATATTGTCTACTAACTAGTAGGTCTCAGGATTTTAAGTCTATTTTCAAACCTACTAAGCTTGTGTCTTCTAAAACAAAGCCTAAGCTGAGTTTAAGCCTACTAAGCTCAAGCCTACTAATCGCTTACTAAGAATACGCCTACTATGCTTAAGTTTGCAAGCAAAAGCTGACTGAGCTTAAGCTTACGAATTCTAAGTCAGCTAAGTCTAAGCATATTAAGTCTAACTAAGTCTACCATGCCTAATAAGTCTTAACCTGATTAGCATAAGTATACAAAATCTAATCATACTAAGCCTAAGACTAAAAAGACTGCTTATTATGCCTGAAATTATCAAGTCTATGCTGACTAAGCCTAAGGTTACTAAGCCTATGCATACTAAGCTTAAGCCTACTAAGCCTAAGCTTACTAAGGCTAAACCGAATAAGCCTAATAATACTGAGTTCTATCCTACTAAGCCTGAGCCTATTAAGTTTAAGCTTGCTAAGTGTACTAAGTGTACCAAGTTTGAGCCATTAAGTTTTACCATCTAATACGTTCTTGTTATCATTACTAATCATTCATGAATTCTGCGTAGTCTATTCGCCTTCCTCACATTATTCCTCCATAATAAAAAAAACCCGCCTCAAAATGACCTTTAGTTGTTATCTGCTGCCATCTCCAAAGTACTCTCTTCATTTACAGTGCAAAGTATTGCAAAGCACAGTCAAAACACGTGAACGGCCGTGGTTAATATCGAAAAAGTGTTCGAATCAACTCGAGGGTTTACAGTGAGACAATCGTATATTGGGCTGGGGCATGTCATGGGTTTGAATACGTTTTTGTTGAGTTTAAAGTGGTTTTCAGGTGGTTGTGCTTTTAAGAGGTTGGGGGGAGGGTATTGTATGTTTACTTTTTTGTAAATTTGTAATCTTAAGGGGGGGGGGGATGAAGGTTCGGTAGGGTACAGTAATTTTGATCATCTTGAAATGTTTTTTTTTTGATTTTTTAAAATTTCAAAAAAATTTTTTTAAAATTATTTTTTTTGTTTTGTAAAGAAAATTCTTGCCATTTTATGTTTTGTAAAGAAAGTTATTGCTATTCCTTACTTTACTAAAACAAGGTTTTGCCATTTTATTGCCATTTATCCTTTGAAAACATTAATTTCTACTGCACCGTGCAATCTTTTAATTCTTTGCACCGTGCAACGAATTTTATTTTAAACACAGTGCAATTTTCATCGTATTTTAGGTAACAAATATTGTTCTAACGTTTAGCCTAGACCTATACAAAGCTACTAAAACAATTTTTAATTTGATAGCTAAAAAAAGAATGGCACAGTGAATTTTCAAAAAATGCTTGCACTGTGCAATCCCAAAAAATGTTTTGCACCGTGCAATCCAAAAAATGTTTTGCACCGTGCAAATAAATTGAATTTTTTGCTAATAATTAAGTAAATAATGTGTTTTCTCAAATTTTGATCAAAAAACGATCAAAAGGATGTAAAATCTTGATCAACTGATCGCACTAAAGTTCACAAAAACAGTTTTGTTT